TCAGGTGCAGCTCACTGGCCCATGTGGGAATCGAACCAGCAACCCTGTTGCTCAGAGCTTGCACTGTAACCAACTGAGCCACCCGGCCGGCCCCAGAGGAAATAGAAGAAATATTTTGAGCGTAAGTAGTGGATACTGATACAATTGTCTACCCAGGAGACACTTTCCTTTTCTCTGGGAACTCCATTCTCTGACTTACCCACCACCACCACCACCACCACCACATATTCACTGTGGACGAATCAATGTTCTCACATAACTCAAAGAGTCTAAGCACAATTGATTGGTTTCAGGGATGAGTGACTGAGAGAATACCCCTATACTATGAGACTCTGAATGCAAGTTAATATTTAAACCAATTGACTCACAGTCTAAAATTCACCCTAGGAACTATAATAAATGGAAGGGGAGGCCTAAATTTTATAGCCCCAGCACCTTGCAGAATGTGTGACAAAATGGGTGCTGAATAAATACTATTAAAATAATTAAAAATAAATATTTACAAATTTTGTGAGAATCTAAGTTTGCCTAAACCCATGTAAGGTTTTTATTTATTAATGACATTGAAAATAAGACAATTCTTTATTGTCCGAAAAGTAACTTATCATAAAGATACAGGGATAGCCTTGAAACCAAGGACTGAGATGCTGCTTATGAACTGTTCATGCCTGTGTAGTGCACTGTATAGAAAACCCCAAGCATTTTCTATATTTCTCCTCCATTTCATCAACAAGGCAAAATATGGTGAAGTTTACATTACCTCTATTTAAAAGAACAGTTGCAAATTAAAATCTCTTAACCCTGATTTTAGACTCCCAAGGAAAAGATTCTGATTGGTTCAGCATGAGATAGGTTCCAAACTATGGGTCAATCAGCTGTGGCCATGGATAAGGTGGTTTTAAAAAGCTTCATTGTTAACTGTGGATTGTGGAGTAAAAGAAGAGGAGCAGGGGCAGGCCGAGTGGCGTGTTGGTTACAAGTTGGCTTGGGATGCCAGCTCTGAGCAGTAGGGCTCTGGTTTGGATCCCACATGTGGGCCAGTGACACTGTGCCCTCTACAACTACGATGGTGAACAACAGCTCGACCTGGAGCTGGGCTGGCGTGGGTAGCCGGTGACGGTGTAGGCTGCAGTGGGGCTGCAATGGGGCTGGACCGGCAGCGGGCGTGAACTTTCATGAGCTAAGGTGAGTGGCTGTCCAACAAGCGGCCATCCAATGGCCAGCGAGCAACTGCCTCAGCCAGGAAGAGTACAATGATAATACTAACATGGGCCAGTGAAGCAGTGTCCTCTACAACTAGACTGAAGAACAAAATCACAGCAACTTGTCGTTCCCCTTCCCCAATTCCCCAATGCTGTTCCCCTCCCTCAATTCCCCAATTTAAAAAAAATCTTAAAAAAAGAAAAAAGAAGAGGAGCAGTTACTAGAAAGGGTAGAAATGTTATGAACTGAGTGGACAATCAATTGTTCACAATCAATTGCTGTGAACTTTACATAGCTTTAATCTGAAGATTCCAGGGGCCAGGGCAATTCATAAAAGTATGTTGCATGTAGACCTCCCAGAGTCACACACAGACTATAATTCTATGTGTCTGAGATTAGAACTCAATATAGAGATAACTGTGAAAGAGAATAGAAACTTCTTGAAATGTGTCATTTACTTCAATTTTTGTGTGTGACTTTTCTATTGCCTGGAAAGACCTTCTCCCCCTCTTCCTGCAGCAGATTCCTTTTTGACTTTCATATTTCAGCCTAGATGTCATCTTCTTCAGAAACCCTCTCTTAATTCTCCCACTATTAGGCTAACTGGCCTTCACATGGCATACTTACGTTGGAAGAGGCAATCTGCCATGGACCCTGAACGTCCCAGAACATTTTTTGCTGGGTATGCCAAGAATGTAAGTCCTTGACCATTCTTTACCCATGCCATTTCTCAGGGTTGTGTTTACAGCAAGCAACCTTGAAGTATGAGATAATATTTCCCCACCAGCAAAGAGCAGGCTTAATGCACCTTACTCTAAAAGTGCCCCTAAATTTCATGTGCTTCTCTTGCAATGCAGGACCTTTTGCACTATCCCCACTGGATCTAATGGGTATATTAGTTTGCTAGGGCTGCCATAACAAAATACCACAGATTGTATGGTTTAAACAACAGAATTTTTTTCTCACAGTTCTGGAGGCTAGAAGCCCAAGATCAAGATGTTTACAGGCTTGGTTTCTCCTGAGGCTTCTTTCCGTGGAGTGCAGAAGGCTGCCTTCTCACTGCATCCTCACATGGTCTTTCTTCTATGTCCAAGCATCCCTGAGGTCTCTCTGTGTGCCCAAATTTCCTCTTCTTATAAGCACACCAATTAGATTGGCTTAGGGCCTGCCCTAATGGCCCACTTTTAACTTCATCATCTCTTAAAAGGCCCCATCTTCAAATAGTCACATTCTGAGGTACTGGGGCTAGGGCTTCAACACATGCATTATGGAAGAACA